GTATGCGATTTCTGATGACGAAATTGGGTTTGACGAAACTTTTTGGTAAGTAATTTTATTTTGATTAGCTATAAAATTGTTATACCTGTTTAAACTTGATATTATCAGCTGATTTCGAGAAAAACACACTTAAACATTTCGGAGTCTCTGAGAATTATTTCATATGATATTTTAAAAATCATAATTACAGCCCACTAGGTTTTTAATTTTGGAGACATATAAAGTCCTTAGTTTTTATGTCCTAACAGTTATGATTCTCCCTGTATATACAGGGCAAATAAAGTACTGTAAAATGTGGACATATAAATTTTAATTAATTATTAAAAAAGTTAAATTTAATTTTTTTGTAAACATCTTACTTTCTATTCTAAAGCGAATTTCATAAATACTTATGTTTTAAATATCTTCTTGTGATAAATATAATACACCTTAAAAATATATACATGTTAGTAAATTACTATTTTAATTAATATACTCTATTCCGATAAATTATTATTTCAATATTGTACGTATTTGCTATGTTGTATTGTTTTACTTACACATAGATAATGTAAACATTGTATGGTTGTAAAAACAAACATTTTTAATTAAAAACTTCTAGTAAGTTCTATTTGCATCTCATTCATTAAGTAGTGAAATTTAGTATGTTAGAATTCAGTGAAAAATTTCACAAATTGCATGAGTAATAATAATGAACTTTTATAATTTTGATAGTTCCTGATTCTACGCCAATGAGTTATCATAATTTATCGAACTAAAATGTATTAAGTAATAATAGTGATTTGATAACATCTACACCTTTTAAGTTCATACAAAAGAAGTTATATCCTTTTAAAGTTACAAATTGAAAATCGATTAGTTTCAATTACCTACTTTCAGACTTTTAAACAATTTGTCTTAAAGTAGAAGCAAGAAAAAAGACAAAAACATTGCACCCTATTAAAATTTTATGGGGTTTGGGATTGCCTAAACCTTCTAACTCAAGAGTAAATATTTGCGAGACGAGCATGGCAAATTGATTAGCAGTTTTCGAGTTATTGGAAAAATCGACTTTCAATTTCAACTTCAAAAAGCTATAACTATTTTAAAAGTATTTTTATGAATAGATAAGTTATATACAGTGAGCACCATAAGTCTTACCCCCCCTATCTAACTCGTTACTGGAGTCTTGTTAGGAAAATCGCTGAGACACGTCGATTTTTGATTTCTACAATGTACATTTTTGTATAAATAGTTTACCCTTAATTTCATCCCTTACTGGAGGGGAGCAACCCTTTCAAAAAATTTAAATGGCATGGGATGGTCAGTGATAGCTCATTTGAAAGAGAGTTTTATTCTCTATTCAACCATGTAAAAAAATTTTGAAATTTGCTTCATTAATTCTCAACTAATTGTTGTTTCAGAATAACAGAAATTAACGTAGCGCACTCATCGTTAGAATTAAAATTCGGCCCTGCATGATTTCGGTTTTAGTTCAGACGTGAAGTAAGACTTTTTGCCATTAGAAGGTCACTGTTAGTTTAGTTGCTTTCCTATTTTATGAGGTTTTGTTATTTTTAATCATTAATGAATCAACACGTAATGAAGCAAATTGTAAAATTTTTTGCACGGTTGAATAGAGAATAAAACTCCCTTTCAAATGAGCTATCACTCACCACCCCATGCCATTTAAATTTTTCGAAAGGGTTGCTTCCCTCCAGTAAGGGATGAAATTAAGGGTAAACTAATCGTACAAAAATGTACATTGTAGAAATCAAAAATCGACCTGTTTCGGCGATTTTCCTAACAAGACTCCAATAACGAGTTAGTCAGGGGGGGTAAGACTTATGATGCTCACTGTATAAGGAACTTATGCTATAATAATAATAATAATAATAATAATAATTTATTTAGACCCCTGTATTCAGTTCATAAGAAATTTAAATATTACTTGTTTCATTACAAATGTTATATAATAAACATTGAGTCAGCGACTTCGCCAAGTTTTAAAATATTAACACCAAATTAAAACAGACGTTACGCCAAAATTTGAATTGTTTAAACAAATATTCGTGTATAACACTGAACTATATATTAAACTGGAAGAACAAAGCCGATCAACAAAATTAAGCCGCATAGCGAGGTGATATTTGACACTTCGGCACCCACATGTGCGTGTCGAAATGCATTAAAAAGGATCATCAAAATTAAATTTAACACTTATTATATTCAACTATGACACCTTTTAATTTAAGAAAATCACTTAAAAATGATTTTTGATTAATACGCAGCTAAAACAAATGTTCCAATGTATACCTGTATGTGCGAACTAGACGTGTCGAAAGACGTGTTGCTACTGTGCTGCGATTAAAAGTTAAAATTCATAGGAAAACGTGCAAATAAAAATTTGATTTTTACGCTAGGTATAGTGTTAATAACAAAGAGTCGATTTTTTTATAAATTATAAGTGAAAATTGATCCAAGAAGCTGTAAGTACAACTGCATTTCTTTTATATTAATATGGATACTCGAAACCGAAAAACCTCGACAAAGGGAGAGGAAGAACTGCACAACTTGCATACAATAGTCAAGACCCTGGTTACTACATTGTGTACCTCAGATGAATTCATATCTACATTGATTAAAACAATAACCGAGGGTCTTAATGAAAAATTTAGGAAAGATTTTCAAAGTTTAAAAGATGAAAATAAACAATTAGTGAAAAAAATTACAAAATCAGGATCAATCAATAAAAAACCTAATCAACAGACAAGAGATATGGGATCGTTCTATTAGAAACCGAAATCTTATATTTTATGGTATAAAGGAAAACGAAGGGGAGCGATGTACCGACGTTCTAATGGATTTTTTCATGAATAAAATGAAGTTAAAATTAGAAAATTCTTGTATTGAGAGCTGTTTTCGATTAGGAAGAAAAGTAGGCAATAAAGATAGACCAGTGATGATAAAATTTTCTGTAAAATTTTATAAGGATTTAGTTTTTAAAAACAAAAAACTTTTAAAACAAACCAAAATTGTAATTAGAGAAGATTTGTCTAAAGAACAACAAAATATAATAAAAGCGACTCTTAAGAAGGTGGGAAACAGAGGAAAAGTGTGGACAATGTCAGGGAATATTTTTCTAAAACTCAATGATAAAGAACAAATTGTCAAAATCAATAAATTGGAAGATACTGAACTTTTTAATTAATACAAACTATTGTTTTTTGCTTTCTTGTTGAAACACAATTTATATTTAGTTATGTCAATAGTTATAAATTAAAACTTTTTGAATTATTTTTTAATTTTTACAGGTTAAAACAATTAAATTATTTAGATTATTTTTCGTGGTACATGTGCAATTGTGTCGCACCTCTCAGGTTTAGACAAGGTTTACTTCTGTCAAGAGCATTGTTAATTTTTTCTGTCAGAGCCAATAAAGCATCCTCAGTAGATTTGTTTTTTCTAAATCCATACTGATTGTTAAATAATAAATTGTATTTATTTAAATATGAAGTTAAGCGTGTCTCTAGAACCTTCTCAAATACCTTCGACAGACTGGAAATAAGGAAAATGGGTCGATAGTTTGTAGCAATATTTTGATCATCTTTTTTGAAAACGGGAACGACAATAGTTTCTTTTAGGGATGATGGCCATATTCCATAAATTTATTAATTACCTAAGCCAAAGGTTTTTCAATAAAAGGAGAAATAATTTGTAGGATTTCAGATGTAATTTAATCAATTCCCGGTGATTTTTTAGTTTTTAGATTATTAATTATATATTTTATTTCATTTTTATTAGTTGGATATAATACAAAACTATTTGGAACAGAAATTCTTGCGGGCAGGTAATTGGGAGGTTGTATAATTTTATTAGCTAATTTTTCTGCAGTTTCTGAAAAGATTTTGTTAAACTGATTAGCAATAAGTTTAGGATCTGTCCTTGGTCATTGTCACTATATATGGATTTTATTTTGCTATTTGTCTTATTAACATCACTAGAAAGATTGTTAATTATTTTCCAGAGTTGTTGTGAATTATGTTTGTTATTGTTAATCAAATTTTGATAATAATTAAATTTAGATTTTTTAAGTGAGTTTGTTACTTTGTTTCTGTAATATTTATACTCATATTTTAAATTTTCGTTGAGAGGTTATTTTTTAATTTGCTAATTATTTTTTGTATTTATTGTTTTAACTAACTCGTTAGTCATCCAAGGTGTCAGTTTAGATTTTTTCCTATATACTTTAATATTAATAATACTTTTATTTAAGTTTCAATGAATTTTTTTGATACAGATTCCGCGTCATTAGTTTCAAAGATGTCATCTCAAGATGTATATTGTATCTGAGTTTTTAATTTTTCGTAGAGAATTTGTTGTTTAAAGTGTTGCATTTGTGTCTTCATTTTTTGAAGCAAAATTGTGAATAATCTGTAATGCTGTAGAAAAGTGGTCAGTAACTGTAGTTTTATATTAATATTTATTAAAGAAGTACAGATGAGAGAAGCACTGTTACTTAAATAACACTAATTCAAAAATGAATATTTTAAAAAAATATTTTTTATTAACATTTTCCATATAACTACAAAAATAATATCTATAAAAGCATTATTAGTCGTCAAATTTAGACATTCTTTTATTAACTAAATTGACATCCACAGTAGAAAAAAAATTCTCAAAATATTATTATGAATTATAACTAAAAATGCAAATTTTTTAATTAACAAGCAATATTGTAACGAATATATTTTTTTTTAATTTTACAATTTTGGGAAGATTGAATTAATAACGAATATAATCAAAATTTTCTGTTAAAAAGATATTATTTTTAATTTTATACTCCTGCACATAATACTTTTAAAATTTCAGAATTACATTTAGTATTTAAGGATTTATAAGTAAACTTTTTTATATTTTTGAGTTCTGGTACTTTAAATTACTTGAAACACAGTTTAAGTATCATTATATAGATGAAAAATTAAATAGTTTTTTCGTTTGTTGATAAATTTCGTACTTACCCCAAACCATGGTCGTCCATGTCGTCCTTTTCTCCCCCTTACAGGGGATTCACACTAACACTCGTTTGTGTATGCAACTAACGCGTGTACGCGCGTTACTGAGAACCCTAGAAGAACTCACTTTCAGACGGTCGTTCGAAGCCCACTTCTACATTTTCAGGCCGATGCGCGTGATCCATCCCACACGACTTAAGACCCTTTTGCGGCCGAACCGCTGGACCTGCAATCTCAAAAATTGGTACGATTAAGGTCTAATACCTTGCAATTATCTCTTTAAAATTTGGGGTTAATTCTTGCAACCCCGAGGGCGCAATCGGGAATAATAGAGGCGAAGTCGCGGTGGGGAGCACGGCGCTTAAGACTGCTTTAGTGGGGAGGATCTCAGCAGAATCTGCCACTAAGAAACATGGAGCTAGTAGCAATGACGCTGCGGCCTGGCTTGTGCCGGGCGACGGCCCAAATATTTTTTTTGGTTTTTACGATAGTGCACGCGAGAGACGGAAAGGTAAGTCTTTTTTCAAAAATTTCCGCATGATTTTTACAGTGACTTCTAATTGAGGTTTTTTTAATGAAAACAAAAGTTAGATCTGAGAGATCTGTTAATGGATACCCTTCGCAAATGTTGTTTTAACAGATTTTTTGATAATAATTTTAGGTATTTTTGTACTGTAACATGTTGCAACTTAGTTTAGTTATCCGACAAATGTTACATACAGTTATATTCGCTTTTTATACATCTTTTATGATTTTGAGTAAACTCTTGAAGGGTCATATAATTTTTATAATTATTGATTTATTAAAATCCAATAAACGTTTAAATGATTGAATGTCATGTAAATTTGTATTATTATTGTTAAAAAGATAAGTAAATTATTTGTTTTAATCAGAACAATTTTATTATATTTCTATTATTTATCTTGTATAGAGGTATTCAATTTTTATTTCGTTGTTAAATATTAGATATACATAAATTTATTGTATTCTAAATTACTACCTAATTCATCAAAACACATTTATGTCAACAGATAAGTCTTTATTTTCAGTAACAATCTACTTAATTCGTTTATGTAATAATATTTTATTCAATATTAACTTGTTTATTTCATAAATAATTGAAAATTAAATATAGTGTGTTCACTAGATATATTTACTTGTAAAAATATATAGTTTAAATTTATAAAAAAAGTAAATCGCCATAATTTCTTTTGCTTGTTAAATAAATACGATTCACGTTGAAAAATTTCGATTTTGTTTTACAGGGTGCGCAAAAAATACAACAATTATGAATTTGCAAAATTTATATGTTTAAGTAAAATATTTTGAAATCGCTTTAATAAAAAAAAACTTCTTTCAGCTTCTTGATTTCTTCTTAGAATATCTTTATTTGAAAGCTTAAAAAATTATTGTATTAACAATTTTTTTATTTTGGAAATCCACAATTCTGTTTATTGCGCACCCTGTACAACAAAATCGAAGGTTCTCAACGTGAATCGTATTTATTTAATAAGCAAAAGAAATCATCAATAATTTAAAAAAAAAAATTAAAATACCTAACTAAATATTTTTCAAATTTATCTCCAGAAATATCGGATTTATTATTTACCATCTAAGGACATTCATTTTAGACCAGGGTCGATAATTTGTGAAACCAAAAAAAATAATAGTAGGATGAAACCCGTTAAAAAAGGACGAGAATATAACAAAAATAAAAGAAAAAATAATTTACGGGCGATCTGAGGTCGGGAAGTGGAAGGGGGTGAGTTTTTAAGGGTAAAAAACGGTTTATCTTGATTTCCGGCAAAACTAAAAGTCGTATGGAAAAAAATTAAATAACAAAGTTGTAGACATTAAAGAGACCTACAACTTTTGTGGTTACACTTTTTTCACATAATCTCAAAATTTATGTGAAAAATTCAAATAATCAAGTTTTTGGTTTTTTATTTTTATCTTATACAAAAAAATTTTTTTTTCACGAAATTAGGTGAAACTTACCTTTTTATGTCCTAAAGACACTGTAATTTTTTTCATTTAAAATATTTATTTTTTCACCTTATTTTGACTTAATATCGAAAAAACCCTAATTTTCAATCGAAAATTCTCGCGTCAAAATATCAGCTTTTTAAAAAAAGTCGGGGAGTTTTTTGTTCGTTGAAATCTCTTCTTTCTGATAAAGTAAAAAAATATATACATAACTATGGTAAATTTTCTCAGAAAATGTAATGAAAAGAAAAAAACTCGAATCCGAAATTTTTTTTTAATCATTATGTACAATTTTGAGCTATTTAGTAAAATTGATACTTTAATTACTTGAAAAACGTCAGATTCGATGTTACATTGATAAACAAAAAAATTACAAATCCATAAATCATAAAAATTGCAAGAAACATGCGAAAATAGTTGTTCTAAATATTAAAGATATTATTTAAACCCCTTTCAATTAAAAAATGTGATTGCTGCAATTTTTTTTAGTCAAAAAGTTGATTTATTAAATTCTAATTACATTTATGTCATAGAAAATCTCATAATATATTAATAGGAATGTAAATCTTTGAATTTTTTTTTTCGTGTAACAGTTTTTTATTAAATCATTTTAAAAAGTTATTTAATTTAATTACTTTTATATTATAGTCTAATCAACAAATTCAAAAGCGTGTTTTTGGGACATACTATTACAAAAATTATGTTCAATAGCTCATTCGATTCGGAATAATGTCTAGATCAATGTGTGAAGAAAAATTTTGCATTGCATAAAAAATTGCAAAAGTTATAAACAATTAAACACCTCAAAAACATGGTGTTTGGTTTTTCGCCTATAGTTTGTAAACTATAAATATTTTTGAATTTTTTAAAAAATATCCTTAAAGAGGAGGAAATTTGCTATAAATAAGTTCCGACTCCCGGAACTGTACCTCCATTATTTATAATTTTAATTTAACGCTCAAAAGTAGCCTTCCGCGCGCCATTTTTAGGTTGCGCGCACGCGTCGAAACCGAGTACGTTACATAAAATAATTTTTTTAAGTTAATAAAATTAAATTAAAAAATTTTAAAAAATTACGGTGTATTCTAAACACTTAGAAAAATTCATTTCCGTTGGAATTTATCATAAAAATTAATTTTTAAAATGATTTAATAAAAAACTGTTACAAGAAAAAAAATTAAAAGATTTAGGTCTGCTGACTCCGATAGCCCTGCAAAAAGTTACAGAATTAAAAAATTTAAATCTGGCCCCTGTTATTAGTTGAAAAGTACGGGTATTTTTAGACATTACTTTTTAGATTACATAGATAGGTCGAACTGGACAATTTTTTTATCTATCACACCCCCTATTGTGTATGCAGCGTGGCATCACAGCAACCCTCAAGGCTTACTGTACCACCATTTGAAAGCCCTAGTGATATAACCATTCACTCATTTATTCACCGACATTGGTTAAACTCTAGCCCTATGGTGAAATTGGTAAAACTTCCCAACCGTCATCTATCTACGACGTGATCAGAAAAGCAACTGCTGAGCTATTGCGAGAACGTAAATGCACACCAATCTCGCGTAGTCACAGAGGATTCCAGACCTACATTCTTCTGATGGGCTTTTGTTTTTTTTTTTTTTTTTTTTCATATTTTTGAGTTTTTTTTTTAAAGTTATTTAAAAAAGTAGTTTATATTACACTTCTGTACACAGTTAAAATAGTAGTTTATGCACAACGCCGTAAGTGGAGTGCGATACGGACAGTCCACTCTAGTTGTTTAGTATATTTTTTCTATATCCCAATAAACAAAATTATAAAATAAAAAAAATTAATTTAGAGAATAAAGTAGCTATTTTAAAAATAGTTTTAAATCCAGTAGACATCTATTACTCCATTTAAAAACTTAAGTTCGTAAATGGCTAACGCTTAGTCGTTTAAATTCAAGAAATTTAAACTTTTGATTCAGGATTAAATAAACAAAGATAACAGCAAATGAGTAATTTCTAAAATTGACAATACAAAACTTAAACAACTTCAATTGACCTACTACTGAATATGAATTTCTTTTTATCAATGAAATGTTTAAAATCACTGATCTTTCACTCAAGGCAATCATCAAATATTTCTTCATTTTAATATGATTTCACATGAATTAAACGAGTAGGGTTATTTATTATCTAAGTTTGTTATCGTATCTTCTGTAATGTTTGATGTATTTTAGAGCTTTACAAATGTACCGATTGACCATTTGAAGGACATTTGATAGACAATAATTTACAGATTGTATCACTAAAATAAAATAGTTTTTTCGTTTTCTGTTGAAATTATTTTGGAACATTTTGTATCAAGATGGATAATATTTGGAATTTAATTTTTGATTTAGTTCCAACTTAACACCTCATCAAAATTACTATCCATTCAATATACTATTCGGTCCATTGATATCCTACTTAGTGACCCAATGACCGTTTCTAGAGGCGTGCCTTAGGGAACGGTATATAGTAAAACCAGAGATCTAGTGACTCTCATAAATCATATTAGCCGACGACCCTTATTATCACTATTGCTCGATTTGTAGATAAGCGATAAAATTGTTGATTAAAAGATTCCCAGGTCCGGATTAAAATATATTTTCTCATGAAATAGTAAAGAATATGTTTTTTTAATAATATTATAATTGAGGGCTCCCTATTTCAATTGTTAACAGTTTTAAATGTAAAACTACTTTTATGATAAAAAATTGCCTAGAATTTAAAGTACTTATAAATAAAATTTACTTGCCTGACCACCTGACTTTCTGTGCTAAACGTCTATTAAGGATATTAGCGACACAGTTATAAATAAATTACCAGACTTTCAAGACAAGACTTTCAAGATATCGAGTCCTATAATTCCAGACAGTTTAGAGAAAGTTTAAATCGGTGGTCGCCAACCTGTCGATCGCGAGATACCGGTAGCTCGCGGAGGCAATTCTGGTAGCTCTCACAACGATTTTAATTTAAAAAATACAAACTGCAAAAATCAGAGAAGCTTCCGAAAATTCCACAAAAAAATGTCATAATATTAAACATAAACAGCAGCAACGTTGCGGTGAGCGATCTGCCGCTGACGCCATCAAGCTAGAATCGGCTAGAACCGACCAGTCGGACCAGCGCGTTAGTGTTCGAGAACGATCAGGATTGCTTTGAACGGGATAAATACGCACGGCGCGGCGATATTGCGCTTAGTTTAAAACTGAACGCGTAACCAACGTCCAGCGGTTGGGTTAGTAGAGAACAACAAAAAATAGTAATATGGCATGCAGTTGTAAGAAGGTAAAGACATACCACTTTCATTCGGAATGGGAAGAACAATACTTTTTTACAGAAGTTAAAGATAAAAATGTGTGTTTGTTATGTAATACTTCGGTCTCCGTAGCTAAAAAAGGAAATATTGAGAGACATCATAAAACTGTACATTCTAATTTTGAAAAATCATTCCCACTACATTCTGCCGCCAGAAAGGAGAAACTGAAACAGTTAGAAAAGCAGTTAATTG